TATTAGATACGTTTTGTGAGAAGAACCGTTTTCAGGATCCGCCCTGGTCTCACAAACACTGCTCTAGCTCAGACCCTGTTAATCACACAGGCTAATGGTTGGTTTCAGCAGATGCAGAATAAATAGACAAATTCAATGCAGCTCAAACACACAATGTTTAAAAGGGGTTGGAAGCACTAAATCACAGCGATGATACCGTGGGATTCAAGGCGTTTAGAACATGTGAACCCAACCTCTTTCTTCAACACAGAGTCGGCATCACAGCCAGTAAACCAGAGGGCACTGGATGGAGCAATGTCTCAATGTGCATGGATTGACCTTAAAGATTGTCCAATTTCCTTGGGCAAGTGAACTGAGCAGTTGTGCAAGTTAAGCCTGCTCTGATGTAGCCCAACTGCTCTGAGGTAGCCCCACTGCTCTGTAGCCCCACTGCTCCGAGGTAGCCCCACTGCTCTGATGTAGCCCCACTGCTCTGTAGCCCCACTGCTCCGAGGTAGCCCCACTGCTCTGATGTAGCCCCACTGCTCTGATGTAGCCCCACTGCTCTGATGTAGCCCCACTGCTCTGATGTAGCCCCACTGCTCTGAGGTAAAAACAAGCCAACTGAAACTCATTCCAGTAGTCCTAACCTAAAACTGATCTTTCTGGTTCCTCTCCTTTGGTTAAGTGAAAAACAGACAATTTATGGCAGTCGGGCTAGTTGAGCCTGTTCTGAACATAACAACCTAAATACATGATTCCTCCCCAATGTGTAGGTGAAAGGCTGACAGTATATGGCACTTCTGAGTGTAAATAGCTCATTTACATTTTCGGGCATGTGATCAAATCTTCAGGTAAGCAAAAAAAGACTCCTGACTTGCTCGATGGGCAAGTGCCTTTCAGACTTCAATGTATATCCCTGATGTGCATGTGTATGAAGCAGGTGACCTACGGCCTGGGTCGTCTAAAGGTCTGGCTTCACCATGCAGTGCTCACATTAATCATAATAATAGTAATAAATAATAATTTATTGAGCTTATATAGCGCTTTCATGACAAAATAGAATCTCAAAGTGCTCGAAAAGCAAAAAAACTAACAAACAGGAAAAACAAATGATAAAACATTACCCTCTCCTGTACAGCTGTCTGAGGGGTTATAATCCTAGTTGATCCTCTCCTGTACAGCTGTCTGAGGGGTTATAATCCTAGTTGTTCCTCTCCTGTACAGCTGTCTGAGGGGTTGTAATCCTAGTTGATCCTCTCCTGTACAGCTGTCTGAGGGGTTGTAATCCTAGTTGATCCTCTCCTGTACAGCTGTCTGAGGGGTTGTAATCCTAGTTGATCCTCTCCTGTACAGCTGTCTGAGGGGTTGTAATCCTAGTTGACCCTCTCCTGTACAGCTGTCTGAGGGGTTGTAATCCTAGTTGATCCTCTCCTGTACAGCTGTCTGAGGGGTTGTAATCCTAGTTGACCCTCTCCTGTACAGCTGTCTGAGGGGATGTAATCCTAGTTGATCCTCTCCTGTACAGCTGTCTGAGGGGTTGTAATCCTAGTTGACCCTCTCCTGTACAGCTGTCTGAGGGGTTGTAATCCTAGTTGATCCTCTCCTGTACAGCTGTCTGAGGGGTTGTAATCCTAGTTGATCCTCTCCTGTACAGCTGTCTGAGGGGTTGTAATCCTAGTTGATCCTCTCCTGTACAGCTGTCTGAGGGGTTGTAATCCTAGTTGACCCTCTCCTGTACAGCTGTCTGAGGAGTTGTAATCCTAGTTGATCCTCTCCTGTACAGCTGTCTGAGGGGTTGTAATCCTAGTTGATCCTCTCCTGTACAGCTGTCTGAGGGGTTGTAATCCTAGTTGATCCTCTCCTGTACAGCTGTCTGAGGGGTTGTAATCCCAGTTTTAATGCTGATCTAAGATCATATTTTACAAAGTCAAGTTTATCTTTTGAGTCTCACAGCCATTTGCCACTGGAGAATTGAGACAAAGTTCTCACATGTTGTTACAGTGACCAGACGTTTTGTTCGTCAGACTATTATATTCTAAAATGTATTTCTTTCAGCACTTTATCTATGTTAATATTGTCATTCCTTGATTCACACCACGTCAACGATAGAGCCTCCTAGAGGCTGTCTAAACACTTTGGGTGGTCTCCAGGTCTGGCTTCACCATGCAGTGCACACTTTCATAATAATTAGTAATGGGCACCAATATCGATATGAGCAAGGCATGTCGTAATATCGATTGATCCTCACTGTTAACCTACACTAATATGTAAAATAGCCTGGTCATGTTGCTCACAATGCACATTGGTTTTGTTATTTTTCAGTGAATGCAATCCTTGTCATAGCTCATCATCTCTGATATTACATCATGATCATAGCCCGATCAACAATGTTTTTTTAACAGTGCAGTGTGAACTTAAATATTGACATTTGCAACACAAATAGCTGAGTTGATTACACAACAGGGTATAGTTTGCTGACACCCACAATTTCAGAATACTCTGTTATCTTTAAATACATGTCTCAATAACATATTTCCCAGTGTGCTATCAGCTCGTTTGGAGGTTTGTTAACACAGTGTCCAATGAAGGGCCAGATGTATACAAAATGGTGTCGTCTGCGTAGAGGTGGATATGAGAGTCACCAGCAGCAAGAGCGACATCATTGATATACAGTGAGGGAAAAAAATATTTGATCCCCTGCTGATTTTGTACGTTTGCCCACTGACAAAAAAATGATCAGTCTATAATTTTAATGGTAGGTTTATTTTAACAGTGAGAGACAGAATAACAACAACAAAATCCAGGAAAATGCATGTCAAAAATGTTATAAATTGATTTGCATTTTATTGAGGGAAATAAGTATTTGACCCCTCTGCAAAACATGACTTAGTAATTGGTGGCAAAACCCTTGTTGGTGACTATGGTCCCAGCAGCCTTGAGATCATTGACAAGATCCTCCAGTGTTGTTCTGGGCTGATTCCTCACCGTTCTCATGATAATTGCAACTCCACGAGGTGAGATCTTGCATGGAGCCCCAGGCTGAGGGAGATTGACAGTTATTTTGTGTTTCTTCCATTTGCGAATAATCACACTAACTGTTGTCACCTTCTCACCAAGCTGCTTGGCGATGGTCTTGTAGCCCATTCCAGCCTTGTGTAGGTCTACAATCTTGTCCCTGACATCCTTGGAGAGCTCTTTGGTCTTGGCCATGGTGGAGAGTTTGGAATCTGATTGATTGATTGGTTCTGTGGACAGGTGTCTTTTATACAGGTAACAAACGGAGATTAGGAGCACTCTCTTTAAGAGTGTGCTCCTAATCTCAGCTTGTTACCTGTATAAAAGACACCTGGGAGCCAGAAATCTTTCTGATTGAGAGGGGGTCAAATACTTATTTCCCTCATTAAAATGCAAATCAATTTATAACATTTTTGACATGTGTTTTTCTGGATTTTTTTGTTGTTATTCTGTCTCTCACTGTTCAAATAAACCTACCATTAAAATTATAGACTGATCATTTCTTTGTCAGTGGGCAAACGTACAAAATCAGCAGGGGATCAAATACTTTTTTCCCCTCACTGTACACAGAGAAAAGAGTCGGCCCAAGATTTGAACCCTGTGGCACCCCCATAGAGACTGCCATAGGTCCAGACAACAGGCCCTCCAATTTGACACATTGAACTCTATCTGAGAAGTAGTTGGTGAACCAGGCAAGGCAGTCATTTGAGAAACCAAGGCTATTTAGTCTGCAAATAAGAATGCGGTGGTTGACAGAGTCGAAAGCCTTGGCCAGGTCGATGAAGACGGCTGCACAGTACTGTCTATTATCGATTGCAGTTATAATATCGTTTAGGACCTTGAGCGTAGAGATAGAGAGTCAAAAGATGCAGAAAGGGAGGAGAGGAGGGTTGAGGAGGCAGAATCAGGAGATCGGAGGGAGAAGGATTTAGCAGAGGGAAGAGATGATAGGATGGAAGAGGAGAGAGTAGCGGGAGAGAGAGAGAGCGAAGGTTGCGACGGCATCTGAGTAGTCAGTCATGCTAGCTACAAAAGTGGACTACACATCTCGAATGTTCAGAAAGTGAAGCTTTATGTTGCAAAATTCTCATTGACTAAAATGATATTGTATTTCGCTGCTAGCTACAGTTCTGCTAGATGGTAGTGTTGGCTTGCTAGCAATGGCTGCGGTGTTGACTTTGTTTGAATAACGGCGTCGCTGCGAACGAATGTAGCTGGCTAGCTAACCTCGATATTTTCTCTATATTACACCTTTATCTTTGATACAAAGACAACTTTGTAGCTAGCTAACATTACACTAATCAAATTGTTCCATTGTAATGTAATGTGTATCATTGTACTTGCGGAGCGAAGTACAGCATGAATACACACTCCAACCCCAACCCTGGTCACTGATTATGTCCTACGTAGGGTCGTAATTCGTTGAAGTTAAATAAAAAACAAACAGATGTTGTTTCCTTCCCCGTTTCAGCAGTATACCTGAATCTCCATCAGACACGCTGTCTTCTAACCAGTGATGTTAAAATCTTTCCAGTTTCCGTATACAACCTGATTTCCCCCCATCGATATGAGTGATCAAAACTACAGCGTTTTTGGCTCATATGCCGTTCATAACGTGTTAGTTTAAAAAAATAAAAGCCATCTGAATACTATTGTTGCACATGTATGTGAAGATAGTACATTTTAGGTTTTCAATTATTATTGATTTGGGACAGTTCAAAACGGTGTTTTGACATTGGGCTATTTATCCAAAGTTTTTGATAACAGGAAGCAGCGACAGCATCATTTTTTACTTCCCCGGGTCCGGGTCCGGGTCCGGGTCCGGATCCGGGTCCGGGTCGGGGTCCGGGTCCAGCCTCCCATCAACTCGTCGAACAGGTGGAACAGGAAGCCATCATTGCTGTCAAAGCTGTGTGCAGGGCTATAAAAGCGCAAAGTCCTGCAAGGGGACAATTGAAATCTGGTGTACAACCAAACTTATACTGTAGATCTACATAGACATCATGAGAGCCACTGCAGCCGTCCTACTGGTCCACTGTCTCCTGGCCATCAGTCATGGTAAGTTAACCATCATCTGAAGCATGCTTGCTCAACTTGGAATTGATGAAGTTTGCTCCATAATGTCATCCTCCTTTTTCTTGCCGTCCTCTACTCATATGTCTTCGTCTCTATAGCATGGGACTGTCAGGAGGTACTAAACATCAATAATCTGATGCAGATCGACGCAGGACTGGGACAAGTGGTTGCAACGGACACAAGTCAAATCCCCTACTACCTGGTAGCTGATAAATGGATCCGCCTGCCTGGTTCCCTGAAGCATATCACTATAGGACCAGCAGGGATCTGGGGTGTCAACAAGGGAGACTCAATCTACAAGTATGTGGCCGGTAACTGGGTGCAAGCTGCAGGTAAGTAGAGAGCATTGCTCAATATTTATCCAGAGGACACCTACTTTCAGTGGTGGAAAAAGTACTCAATTGTCATACTTGAGTAAAAGTAAAGATACCTTAATAGAAAATGACTCAAGTAAAAGTGAAGGTTACCCAATATAATACTACTTGAGCAAAAGTCTAAAAGTATTTGGTTTTAAATATACGTAAGTATCAAAAGTAAATGGAATTGCTAAAATGTACTTAAGTATCAAAAGTAAAAGTAAAAGTATAAACCATTTCAAAGTCCTTATATTAAGCAAACCAGACGGCACAATTTTCATGTTTTTTATTTGTATTGACGGATAGCCAGGGGCACACTCCAACACTCAGACAATTTTTCAAAGGAAGCATTTTTGTTTAGTGAGTCCGCCAGATCAGAGGCAGTAGGGATGACCAGGGATGTTCTCTTGATAAGCGTGTGAATTGGACAATTTTCCTGACAAAATGTAACAAGTACTTTTGGGTTTCAGGGAAAATGTATGGAATAAAAAGTACATTATTTTCTTTAGTGAAGTAATAGTAAAAGTTTGCCAAAATATAAATAGTAAAGTATAGTACAGATACCCCAAAAAACTACTGAAGTACTTTACACCACTGCCTGATTCATTGTTTTCTTGTCTGTCTTTGTGGTTTTCAGGCCTTCTGAAGCAGGTGGATGCTGGGGGTAACCAGTTTATTGTGGGGGCCAACATGGACGATACTCCGTACTGTCTGACAAGTAGTGCCACAGTTGGCTACAAGGGTCCAGGTTCACCCCTTCCATGGACAGGATTGCCAGGAGCTGTGAAGTACTACAGTTGTGGACCCTTTGGGTGCTGGGCAGTCAACAACAATGATGATATCTTCTTAATGAGTGTAAGATCTGGGAAAAAGTGTGAGAACTAGAGTAGAGTAGTAGAGTATGGGGAGTTATTCTAAAACTGTTTAATATTATAACTGTAGAAATGGTCCTAAAACCCTGATTGTATCTGTTTGTTTCCAGCTGAATCAAGACTGCCAAAACAAGGGGTGGAGTCACATTGACGGCAAGCTTTCCATGATTGAGGTGGCAACTGATGGTAGTGTCTTTGGGGTCAACTCTTTGGGTGATGTTTATACCAGGTAAGGTTGATACTTAACTATATGTATAGTGTCCCTCTTTTCCCCCTCAACATTATTAACTTAAAAATGACTTGTAATAATAATCAAATCTAAACTTTTATAATAGACTTATGAAGGAATGTGAAGACAGTGTACTGTAAAATATGTAGAAGTTCGATCTCCTTTAAAGCTACAGTTTGGGATTTTAAATGGCCATCCTGCCACTTGTTTTAGTAAACAGATGAGGGATGGGACAGGAGAAATGTAGCCACTCTCTAATTCATAGATGGATCAATAGATGTAAGGACAGACAGATGAGAACAAAATGATTTTTCATTTAAACATGTTTTGTAAAGCTATACATTGTTTGTTTACAATAGCATTGTTTACAACCAATTGAGTAAAATCTTACATATTTTCTTCTGATGCAGTTGTATTAAGCTCATGAGTCATTTATAAGTTATATTCTTAAACAATCAATGGCTATATACAATTAATAAAGTTTTTTTTATTTTTAATGGATGAGCTTTAAACATGTGAACCCCACCTCTTTCTTCAACACAGAGACGGCATCACAGCCAGTAAATAGGTTAATAAGGTGACACCTAAGAAGGGATACTGGTCTGTAGTTGTTGACATCAGAGGGATCGAGTGTTGGTTTTTTGAGAAGGGGTGCAACTCTCGCTCTCTTGAAGACGGAAGGAACATAGCCAGCGGTCAAGGATGAGTTGATCAGCGAGGTGAGGTAAGGGAGAAGGTCACCGGAGATGGTCTGGAGAAGAGAGGAGGGGATAGGGTCAAGCGGGCAGGTTGTTGGGCGGCCGGCCGTCACAAGTCGCAAGATTTTATCTGGAGAGAGAGGGGAGAAAGAAGTCAAAGCATAGGGTAGGGCAGTGTGAGCAGGACCAGCAGTGTCATTTGACTTAACAAACGAGGATCGGATGTCGTCAACCTTCTTTTCAAAATGGTTGACGAAGTCATCCACAGAGAGGGAGGAGGGGGGGAGGGGGAGGAGGATTCAGCAGGGAGGAGAAGGTGGCAAAGAGCTTCCTAGGGTTAGAGGCAGATGCTTGGAATTTAGAGTGGTAGAAAGTGGCCTTAGCAGCAGAAACAGATGAAGAAAATGTAGAGAGGAGGGAGTGAAAAGATGCCAGGTCTGCAGGGAATCTAGTTTTCCTCCATTTCCTCTCGGCTGCCCGGAGCCCTGTTCTGTGAGCTCGCAATGAGTCATCAAGCCACAGAGCTGGAGGGGAGGACCGAGCCGGCCGGGAGGATAGGGGACATAGAGAGTCAAAGGATGCAGAAAGGGAGGAGAGGAGGGTTGAGGAGGCAGAATCAGGAGATTGGAGGGAGAAGGATTGAGCAGAGGGAAGAGATGATAGGATGGAAGAGGAGAGAGTAGCGGGAGAGAGAGAGCAAGGTTGCGACGGCGCATTACCATCTGAGTAGGGGCAGAGTGAGTAGTGTTGGAGGAGAGCGAGAGAGAAAAGGATACAAAGTAGTGGTCGGAGACATGGAGGGGAGTTGCAGTGAGATTAGTAGAAGAACAGCAAGCCATTATCAGTCTTATGTAGTAATGGGCACACACCATCTAGGACCCTCAAACTCACCTCTGGACCTCGTAGGGTCAGAGTTTAATACCCCTGATCTAGGATTTATAACTGTAATATATCCATTTGGCATGACAGGTTGACGTTTATTGGGATGAATCTTGTCCCGGAGGCAGAGTGGTTTCCGCTGGATGGGCCAGCTGCAAAGTCAAAATTGGCTACTATTGTAAAAATTCATAAAAAAATAAATATGCTTTTTGGTCTTAAGGTTAGGGTTAGGCATAAGGTTAGTGTGGTTAAGGTTAGGATTAGGTTTAGATGTTATGACTTTGTGGCTGTGCCAGCTAGTGACCACCCTGCAGAGCTGCCTCCAGTACAAGAGCCATCCCAATAAATGCCAACCTGTGTTGATGAGACAGTGATTCCACTAAATCAGGGGTGTCAAACTCATTCCATGGATGGGCCAGTGTCTGCTGGATTTTGGATTTTCCTTTCAATTAAGCCCTAGACAACCAGGTGAGGGGAGTTCCTTACTAATTAGTGACCTTAATTCATCAATCAAGTACAAGGGAGGAGTGAAAACCAGCAGACACTCTGCCCTCCCTGGGATGAGTTTGACATGTGCACTAAATGATCATGCCAAGCTGCATGCTGAAATCGTAGTGAAAACCAACAGAAGAGACAGGAAGGTTTGATAATGCAGGAAAGTGAAGTTCTCTGTCGAGTCCCAAACAACTGGATGTTCTGGTTTTCAGGGGAAATAGAAAGAGCCTGTGATGAGACTGTTGTTTTTGGAGGTTAATAAGGTGACACCTAACATAGCAGGTGTAAATGAAATGCCTGAAACTACTATCGATACCCTACATCAAGGGTGTCAAACTCATTCCACAGTGGGCAGTGTGTCTGCGGATGTTTGCTCCTCCCTTGTACTTGATTAATGAATTAAGGTCACTAATAAGAAACCCCCCTCACCTGGTTATGTAGGTCTTAACTGAAAGTTAAAACCAAAAAACCCACAGACACTCGGCCGTCCATGGAATGAGTTTGACACCCTTAATGTAGGGGATCTATACTGCCCTACCAAGCAATACGCAGAAACCGCTCATAGAGTGAAACTGAGAAGAATTACTTCAAAGTTGTTTTATTGTTCAGCCAAGTGAATTGTAGGCAGATCATCACAATTGGCCCAGCGTTGTCCAGGTTTGGCCGGTGTAGGCCGTCATTGTAAATAAGAATTTGTTCTTAACTGACTTGCCTTGTTTAATAAAGGTAAATAAAAAAAATTGGAGATGTGGTTATGTTGTCTTACTATGAGGTAATTTTTTATTCATATTGACCCTGACCTCTGACATGACCTTTGATCCTACACGGCAGTTACTGCCTTCTTGCTTGGTACACCCACTGGAATACGTTTCCATGACGACTTTAAAAAAATACAAACTTGTGTTAGTATATTTCTTTGTGAATGTCAGTGTCATATAGTTTGATATTTGTATCAGCAAAGAACAATAAATAATACCAAGGTTTACCGTAGTCACTGCAGCCCAAAGCTCTGTGAAACCAAGGTAAACGGCAGTAACTGACGTGAGTGATGCCAATTACTGCCTTTTTCCTTGGTTTCACTTGAACTTTTTTGGAGTTACTGCAAACATGACCCCCCATTTTCTCCATAACACAAGAGGCATGATATTTGTCCACATGATAAAGCATGTATTTAATGTATAAAAAATGCAGTGGTGTAAAGTACTTAAGTAAAAATACTTTTAAGTACTACTTAAGTAGTTTTGAGGTAACTGTACTTTACTTCACTATTTATATTTGACAACTTTTTACTTTTACTCCACTACATTCCTGAAGAAAATAATGTACTTTTTACTCCATAGATTTTACCTGACACCTAAAAGTACTCGTTACATTTAGAATGCTCAAGCAGGACAGAATTATGGCACCCATCAATATAACGCTTTGTCATCCCTACGGCCTCTGACCTCTTAAAACCAGATACTTTTACTCAAGTAGTATTGTACTGGGTAACTTTTACATGAGTCCATTTCTGTTAAGGTATCTTTACTTTTACTCAAGTATGACAATTGAGTACTTTTTCCACTGCTGAAAAAAATCATTTTTTACCAAATGTAACTGTTAAAATTGTCCTAAAAGCCTAATTGAATGTATGTTTGTTTTCAGTATAATAGCTTCAGGCTGCTACTGTCACGTTCGTTGAGTAAATGGTCGGACCAAGGTGCAGCATGGTACACATACATGTTTAATTTATTAAATAAACACTTGACAAAATAACAAACGCAACTGACCGTGAAGTTCTAAACGCTACCAGCAACAAACAGAAACAAGATCCCACAACATAGGTAGGCAAAATGGCTGCCTAAGTATGATCCCCAATCAGAGACAACGATCGACAGCTGCCTCTGATTGGGTACCACACCCGGCCAACATAGAAATACATAAACTAGAATCTATCCCAATCACACCCTGACCTAACCAAACAGAGAATACAGGTGATCTCTAAGGTCAGGGCGTGACAGCTACGTTAGGTTACCGTGTATGAGAGATAGCATGGTGTTGTCTGTAACATTCATTCTCATTCCTTGATTCACACCATGTCATCAATAGAGCCTCCAAGAGGATATTATCATGGTGTGAAGACTTGGGCACTGTCATGTTGCTCACAATGCACATTGGTTTAGCTATTTTTCAGTGAATGCAATCCTTGTCATAGCTCATCATCTCTCATATTACATCAGGATTTTCCATATATTAAGCATTGAGTTTGAAACACATTTTGTGTTATTCAACTATGGAGATTATTTTCTCCAAGGCAACGCTGCAAAACTCCAGTAATTTCCGGTTTTGCAATTTGAAACCCTCTGGTTACTGTTCCGCCTCTCTAACGTCAAGGCTACCTCCACCCCTAATATTCCCCAGGTATTTGTTTTGTTGATTACAAAAAGACTTACGGTATATGTACTATGCACTTCCTCATGAAATAGTTAGACTTTTACTGGCAGGTGATTCAATGTGTCATTTCAATGTTGTGACATTTGTTTGAACTTTATGGTGAAACTGTTCCTTACAGTTGGTGTGACTATTCAAGATGTTTTATACCCTTATAAGGAGGGAGGGACAAAATACTGAGAAACAAGGATGGAAAGGGAGAAAAATATACTTTTGTATATATAATGAATGTGGAATTCCCTTTAAATTACTGGATTTGGCTATTTCAGTGTATAAAATCGAGCACACAGCCATGCAATCCACATAGACAAACATTGGCAGTAGAATGGCATTACTGAACAAGCAACCGCACACAAGCCTAAGATCATCATGCGCAATGCCAAGCGTCACCTGGAGTGGTGTTAAGCTCGCCGCCATTGGACTCTAGAGCATTGGAAACACATTCTCTGGATTGATGAATCACGCTTTACCATCTGGCAGTCTGACTGACGAATCTGGGTTTGGCGGATGCCAGGAGAACATTACCTGCCCGAATGCATAGTGCCAACTGTAAAGTTTGGTGGAGGAGGAATAATGGTCTGGGGCTGTTTCTCCTGGTTTGGGCTAGGCCCCTTAGTTCCAGTGAAGAGAAATCTTAACGCTACGGCATACAATGACATTCTAGACGATTCTGTGCTTCCAACTTTGTGGAAACAGTTTGGGGAAGGCCTCATCCTGTTTCAGCATGACAATGCCCCAGTGCACAAAGCGATTTCCATACAGAAATGGTTTGTCGAGATCGGTGTGGAAGAACTTGACTGGCCTGCACAGAGCCCTGACCTCAACCCCATTGAACACCTTTGAGATTAATTGGAATGCCGACTGCAAGCCAGGCCTATTCGCCCAATATCAGTGCCCGACCTCACTAATGCTCTTGTGGCTGAGTGTAAGCAAGTCCCTGCAGCAATGTTCCAACATCTAGTGGAAAGCGTTCCCAGAAGAGTGGAGGCTGTTATAGCAGCAAAGGTGGGACCAACTCTATATTAATGCCCATGATTTTGGAATGATATGTTCGACGATCATGTGTCCACATACTTTTGGTCATGTAGTGTAAGTGTTTAAAGAATATAACAAATTAAACAAAAAATTACTATGTTATAAATATGAAAATAAAGTTGTCCTCCAAGAAGGGGGTTGGTAGCGGTATACATTTACATTTACGTCATTTAGCAGATGCTCTTATCCAGAGCGACTTACAGTTAGTGAGTGCATACATTATTATTATTATTATTTTATTTTTTTCATACTGGACCCCCGTGGGAATCGAACCCACAACCCTGGCGTTGCAAACACCATGCTCTACCAACTGAGCTACATCCCTGTAAAATGTGTTACACTTAGTCTGGTACAGTGTAAACATTATATGGGTCCTCCTATAACACTTTGGTGCTTAGGAACCTTATCAAACAGCTCTACAAATATGCCACCTGCCAAGTACAGTAGGTGAGAGAGATAAGGTTTTTGAGAGAAATACGCTTTTTGAGAGAAATAAGCGTTTTGTGCGTATGGAACATTTCTGGGATATTTTATTTCAGCTCAAAGAACACGGGACCAACACTTTACACGTTGCATTTATATTTTTGCTCAGTATATATTATTATTGTGTGTCTGTGTGTGGGAGAGGGTGGGGTTATGTCCCCCTCCCGTTAACTTTTCCTTGGAACAAGTTGTTTGTCAAATATAAATAGCTCATTAATAATTATTTTATGGGGGTTGATAGCTTTTTGCAGGGCTATATAAGGGGGAAAAGTCTGTGTTCAACCAAACTGCAAACAAACTTATACTGTAGATCTACAGAGACATCATGAGAGCCACTGCAGCCGTCCTACTGGTCCTCTGTCTCCTGGCCATCAGTCATGGTAAGTTACCATCATCTGAAAAACTATTTTAAAGTCAACTCTACACTAAACTTGAAATTCATCATCCTTTTTGCTGGTGTCCTCTACTCATGTGTCTTTGATCTGGTGTCTCCATAGCATGGGACTGTCAGACTGTAGTGGATATATATAATCTGATGCAGATCGACGCAGGACTGGGACAAGTGGTTGCAACGAACACAAATCAAATCCCCTACTACCTGGTAGGTGATAAATGGATCCGCCTGCCTGGTTCCCTGAAGCATATCACTGTAGGACCAGCAGGGATCTGGGGTGTCAACAGCGGAAACATAATCTACAAGTATGTGGCCGGTAACTGGGAGCAATATGCAAGTAAGTGGAGAGCATTACTCAATTATGAATCCAGAGGACACCTGCTTCTTAGCTTTCCTGATACCATCAGTGTAAATTATTCATGTTCAACATTATGTCATTGTACTGTAAGTCATTTGGCAGTACTCACATATGCATAATCCTTGTTTGCTTGTCTGTCTCTGTCTTTGTGGTCTTCAGTCAATGTGAAGCAGGTGGATGCTGGGGGTGATGAGTTTATTGTTGGGGCCAACATGGACAATACTCCATTCTGTGTGAAAAGTAGTGCCATAGTTGGCATCATGGGACAAGACCCACACTATCATGGGACAAGATTGCCAGGAAGTGTGAAGTACCTCAGTTGTGGACCCTTTGGGTGCTGGGCAGTCAACAACAATGATGAAATCTTCTTAATGAGTGTAAGATCTGGGACAGAGTGTGAGAGCTGGAGTAGAGTGGTAGAGTATAGAGAGTGTCAGTTATTTTAAAACTGTTTCATATAATAACTGTTGAAATTGTCCTAAAACCCTCTGTTTGTTTTCAGAATGTGAACAAAGACACTTGTCAAAACAAGGGGTGGAGTCACATTGACGGCAAGCTTTCCATGATTGAGGTGGCAACTGATGGTAGTGTCTTTGGGGTCAACTCTGATGGCCAAGTTTATACCAGGTAAAGTTGATACTTACATTTGTGTATGGTTCCACCTTTCCCCCCCTCAACATTAGTAACTTTAAAATGACTTGTAATAAGAACTTATAATAATAATGATATAACTTTATGAATAACTCTGACCCTTACTGTACATGCTTTGTGAAGCGATTTATACCCAAATTAAAACAGACGCATAAATCAAATCTGTAAAATATAATCAGATCTAAACTTATAAGACTTATAAAGAAATGTGTGAACAGTTTATGGTACATTTTGAAAAGGTTGGATATCCTTTAAAGCTACCTGTTTGGGATTCAAAAAAACAACTACATGGTCACCCCACCGCTTGTTTTGGTAAACAACTGAGATGTGTAGCTAGAGAAATGTAACCACTCTTAAATTCATAGATGGTTCTATGGATGCAAGGACAGATCATCCATGAGAAAAAAAAAACATACATTGTTCATTGAAATAACATTGTTTACAAACAATTGAGTAAAGCTTATATTTTGGCTTCTGATGTGATTGTATTAAGCTCAAGAGTCCTACATTATATTGTTCAATAATCAATAGCTATATACAATTAATAAAGTCTGAAGATGTATGTACTTTTTAAAAAAATGATACGATTTAAATGCGAACCTCACCTCTTTATTCAACATAGAGACGGCATCACAGCCAGTAAACCAGAGGGCACTGGATGGAGCATTGTCCCAATGTACATGCCAATGACGCACGTGACCTATGACCTGGGCCGTCTTTGGGTCGTCTCCAAGTCTGGCTTCACCATGGTGTGCAAACGTTAGCCTCTCCTCTGCATCTGAAGGCCGTTCAGGATCTGACAGGTTCACTTGTTAACTCATTGATCTCTCTTTCTGGAGCAGCCTTCTGCTTGACAATTATTGATTAACACTTCAATAGAGCTTTTCCATAGATGCTATTTGATCGTAGTGTAAACTTGGGCACGGTGATGTTGCTCAAAATCCACATGGGTTTTGCTGTGCTTCAGAGGTCATCAATAGGGTTGGATGGAATCCTTGTCATTATCTCATTATATAATCATTTCCCGCGGATAAAGCATTCAGTTGAAACTAATTTCAGCGTTTTTTTTATCATATTGAACAGGGGGATTTAAGGTTGCCCTGCAAAGATCCAGTGAGACTTGAGAGATCTGTTTTGTGAATCTTCTTACTATGAATGTTAGATACGATTAAAGTACTACAGTGTTCATGAACTGGTAAACCTTTAGTTCCCTGATGCATAGTTTGATTGACAGGTGCCCTATTGTTGTAGTCTCACAGGGACATATTTGTTATGTTGATTTAAATAAAGCCTTTGACAACACCTTTTACAGTGTGCTCTGTTAATAATAATATAATAATATGCCATTTAGCAGATGCTTTTATCCAAAGCGACTTACAGTCATGTGTGCATACATTTTTACGTATCGGTGGTCCCGGGGATCGAACCCACTACCCTGGAGTTACAAGCGCCATGCTCTACCAATTGAGCTACAGAGGACCACATCTTTGTTAAAGATGGTTAACTACCCACTACTCACTACACTACTCTGAGGGAAATGTGTAATTTAATATTAACAAATGACTAGTTGCCTAGAATGTAAGCATATTGTGGAAACTCTTTGTAGACCATATTTATCTGCAAATATCCTGACTAATTCCCCCCCCAGTACTGAACATGCATTAACATGCATCAGACAGGGACACCTGCATAGAACTTCACGAACGCTAAAGGAACAATCTGGAAGATTTCCTGCTGTTCAATGGCCATTTAATATACCAGAGTTATAAAGCCTACTCTTAGAAAATAAGTGCTATCTAGAGACTTAAAAGTGTTCTTCGGCTGTCCCCATAGGATAACCTTTTGAATAACCCTTTTTGGTTCCAGGTAGAACCCTATTGTGTTCCAGGTAGAACCCGTTCCTCATAGGGTTCTACGTGGAACCCAAAAGGTTTATACGTGGAACCAAAAAGGGCTCTTTCTAAGCATGTAGAGGGCACACATCTATCATTTTCATGGATCGTTTCAGTGACAGCATGGGCAGCTACATGGAAGGCTATCTCCCCATAGTTCATTTTCTTATTTTGACACCAAAGCCATATGAGTAGAGCTCACAGACAAAGACACATAAACAAAGTACAAAGAGACAAAGACCTGAGTAGAGTACACCGACAACAAGGAGGAGGAAATTATGTAGCCAACCTGATGATTAACTCCAAGTTGAGCAGGCATGCTTCAGATGATGGTTAATTTACCATGTCTGATGGCCAGGAGACAGAGGACCAGCAGGACGGCTGCAGTGGCTCTCATGATGTCTCTGTAGATCTACAGTATAAGTTTGGTTGTACAATTATCCCCTTGAATGACTTTGAGCTTTATAGCACTGCACACAGCTTTGACTTATGGCTTCCTGTTCCACCTGTTCAATGAAGAGTTGATGGTATCCGGGAGAGAGGAGGGTTGTGTAAATGTCACCTGGTGATGAAGTGCTTTTTTCTTCTCACTTTTGCTGTGTTAACATTTTCTGAATACGTTTGCTCTGTTAACATTTTGAAATACAGTGCCTATAGAAAGTCTACACCCCACTTGGATTTTTTCACATTTTATTGTTTTACAAAGTGGGTTTAAAGTGATTAAAAATACTTTGAAATGTAAAAGTAGAAAAAAATATATATCTATAATTAATTAAAACATAAAACACTAATTTACCTTGATTAGGTAGGTATCCAACCCATGTTAGAAACACATTTACAGCTGTGAATCCTTCTGGGTAAGTCTCACAAAAGTTGTACATACCTGGATTGTGCAATATTTGCCCATTATTCTTTAAAAAATTATTCAGGCTCTGTCAAGGTGTTGGGGATCATGGCTTGTCAGCAGTTTTTGTTATGTGGGCAGCTTGTCTCTCCCTTTTCTGTTTCCCTTCCTCCTTGTTTTGTCCCCTCTTTGTCTGTTGTATCTGTATGTGTGTTTGTCCTCATTATGTTGGTGCGTCTGCCGGTGTGTGTCTGGAGTGGATCGGGGGGCGTGCTCAGGATCTGCCTCTCCTGTGCAGCTGTGGGTTGTTTCCAGTGATTCCTGCCTACGCAGCTGCATCCTATTCTCTCATCAACCTGCACTACTAATTCCTGGGCATGGCTCTCCACCGGCGCCAGATCGTTGTTCTTACTAGAACGGTAACTTGGCTCACCAGTAGAGTTAAATTGTCTTTGTCTTCAGCCTGGCTCTTTACTCTCCTTAACCTGTCGTTTGTTTTGTCTTCAGTTCAGACATACCTCCCAACCTGCCTGCCTGCCTTCCTGCCTGCCTGCCTGCCTGCCTGCCTCAGCCACTCCTTCCTCCGGAGCCGACTAGCCCACTCTGTTCCTTTTCTTCAGTTGTTTTTCGACTAAGACAAATTGAACTTTTATTAAAATAATTTTTGTTTCTTCCACTCCCTTAGTCGTGTTTTGTTTCTCTGAGTGCTGGGTTTAACCATAGCTTAACAGAACAATCTGGCCATGGACCCAACAGAGAAACAGCACGGGGAAAACAAAGACAGCTTCCAACAAGCTATCCAGGCTCAAGGAACGTTGCTAGGATAGCATGACCAATTGATTCGGACTCTTTTGGAAAATAATCATCAACTGCTGAACCAGGTGACTCCGTTAACAACACAAGTCTCTAAATTGTCTGTTATCAGTTCTCCATCTCTCTCTGACCCCCAGTTTGATGCACCCCAAGTTGTTTCCTCTGACATTATGCAGGCTTCGTTCCATCGGGAACCCCCTGTCACATCGCCTGAACCGTTCAATGGAGAATTGGACAAGTGCCGGGGATTTTTGCTTCAGTGTGACTTGATTTTTCGGCAGAGACCACTGTCGTTTTCTACTGATTCCTCTAAGGTACATTATGTTCTGGGGCTGTTAAGAGGGAGAGCTCTGGTTTGGGCTGAGGCTGTGTGCTCAAATCAAACTTTGACTGGATTGACTTTTGCTGATTTTTCTGCTAAATTGAAGACTGTTTTTGACCATCCTGACCATGTGGGTAATTCCTCCAAGAGACTTTTTAATTTGAGGCAGGGTTCTAACAGTGTGGCTGAGTACTCTATTGAGTTCTGGACTTTGGCAGCGGACTCCAAGTGGAACAATGTGGCACTTCAAGGAGCATTTCTAAACGGTTTGAATGAAGCCATTAAGGATGAACTGGCTGCTCGTGATGAGCCACATGATTTACATTCTCTCGTTTCCCTGTCCATTAAGCTAGACAACCGGTTGCGGGAGAGGCGTCGGGAGAGAGGCGGTCGGCCACATCTAGGAGGACGAGTTCCCCAGCCTTCAACCACTCGAGTCTTGCCTCCCCGGAGCCGGCAGCTTCTTGTTCCTGATCCCATCCCGAGCACAGAGGAGGAACCAATGCAAGTGGGTCGAGCTCGACTACCTCCAGCAGAGCGGCAACGGCGCCTCCAGGCGGGTGAGTGCCTGTACTGTGGAGACGCCACACACATTCTGGCTACATGTCCTAAGCGACCAAAAGACAAGGCTCGCTCGTAACGGTGGGTCTACTTGCGAGCCCAGAGTTAGATCCTGAACCCATCATTCCCCGATTACAAGTACCTGTAACCTTACGTTTCCAGAGTCATTCCCTACCACTCTCAGCTCTCATAGACTCAGGTGCAGAAGACAACTTTATTAGCCACCAGTTCGTTACACAAGCTCGTATCCCCGTGGAGCCACTACCTACCCCCATTCGAGTCACAGCCCTTGATGGGCGCCTCCTCGCGGAGATAACTCATCAAACCACCCCCGTTTCCCTAGTGATTTCTGGCAATCATTGTGAAAGCATTCAGTTAAGAGTTATGTCTGACTCAGCTACCCCCCTAATCCTTGGCTTCCCCTGGTTGGCTCTTCACAACCCACAAATTGATTGGACACGTCACACCATTCTTAGTTGGAGCACTAACTGCCATTCAGAGTGCCTTAGGTCAGCGGTTCCCCCCACTAAGTGTAACCCAACTCATCCCTCAGCTCCTCCCGATCTGTCATCTGTCCCCAAAGAATACCATGACTTAGCTGAGGTTTTCAGTAAGGACAAGGCTCTGTCTCTACCACCACATAGGCCTTATGATTGCCCTATTGAACTGCTTCCTGGTGCTCCCTTGCCCTCAAGTCGCTTATACAATCTGTCCCGACCGGAAAGAGAGGCAATGGAGCAGTATATTGGTGATTCTCTGGCCTCGGGCATAATCCGTCTCTCGTCGTCTCCTTTGGGTGCAGGTTTCTTTTTCGTTGAAAAGAAAGACAAGTCGTTACGCCCCTGTATCAATTTCAGGGGTTTAAACAAGATAACTATTAAAAACAAGTATCCCCTTCCACTCATCAACTCAGCTTTTGAACCTCTGCATGGCGCCACAGTTTTCTCCAAGCTCGACCTCAGGAACGCTTATCACCTTGTCAGAATCCGAAAGGGAGATGAGTGGAAAACCGCTTTCAACACTCCACTGGGGCATTTTGAGTATTTGGTCATGCCCTTTGGGCTCTCAAACGCCCCTGCTGTATTCCAAGCCATGGTGAACGATGTTCTTAGGGATTTTTTTAACCGTTTTGTCTTTCTATACCTGGATGATATTCTTGTTTTTTCCAAGTCACCCGAGGAGCATGAGTCACATGTCCGTCAAGTCCTTCAACGGCTCTTGGAGAATAAGCTGTACGTCAAAGCAGAAAAGTGTGAGTTCCACAAACAGTCTACATCATTCCTTGGTTTCATCATTGAGAGCGGGCAGGTGAAGGCGGACCCCGAGAAGATC